TTAATTGTAATGTAGACATGCTTCATATTCATTGCATACCAAAAATTCAATGAGTGTACAAGGATAAAAGGACTGTCTTCTAAAAGTAAATAAGACTCTCATTATCACATATATAAGCTAATAGCTAGCTTAGCTATAGGTAAAAACAGTTAATTGTTTTTACCTAAAGCTAATGTTGCTTTTTCTTACTCACCCAGCTGTACATGTGCCAGTATATATCCATATGTAATAATTCTAGTTAACTGTAGTGTTTAAACATGAAATAAACACATTTTGTGCAAATTGACAGTAGACAAAGTGTCACAACCTCATAAGGTATGTCTTCATTTACTTGGTAATTGATTTAAAAAAGCATGACATGTAAATGGTTGTTTAATTTTAACCAGCCTTAGTTGTATGAGCTTCATTTGGGAAGAGAAAAATAGGAAAAATGTTATTAACATTAGTATGACCATTAGAGATGACCAAGCCCATGGTAGCATCCTATATTAAACACCTGAGATACCAAGTTTTTAAGTCCAGTCTTTAATTCCAGTTTAAGAAACGGGTTTGCTTAAGGTGGCTTTTTATGGCAGATTTTCAGAAATTGCCTTCAGGGATTTTCACAGTTCTGGTTATACCATGTTATTTATTAATGTATAAACCATATTGCTGTAGTCTAGGTCATAAAAGATTGAAGTAACCCATGGAGGCCGATTTTGGTTTTCCCATTGTTCTAAATCTAACATTACTTAGTTTTCTAATGTCCACCGACTTTGTGGAAATTGAAGTGATTTGTAAGATGTTTACCTTACTAACCACACTGTAGGTTTGTGACAGTGATCAGGCAGAACCATCACATATAACGAGCTCCATCAGATCAACTGCATGTTGGCATAATGCATGTTATTTAAAGTTGTCACCTGCTGAATGTGTGAAAACATCTATGAATGTCATAAACATACAGTATTACAACAGACTACTCCAATTAACTGGGTAGCATTTTAAAGAGACTCGTCCTTCCACTCTGTTATGTGCAGCTGTTGAATAAACAGGCTCCTTTAATAGCTGATGTGTACAGGTAGATGATGTGCTGACGTGTGAAAAGTTTGTCTAAAGAATGCCCTATAATGAGACAGCAAAAGCCACACAAGTTCAAAGCAAATGCCAAAAGTCTTATTATATGAGGTTACACAGTACTTTCCTTCAGCTTGATTACATTTTAGAGGGTTTTTTTTTGCTGTCTCTTAATTAAGCAGTGTCCCTTCAACGAAAGTGTAGAGAGGTCTTTCAGTTGTTTCTTTGTTCATTCCGTGAGCATGTCACCTGTATGAGTACAAGTCGTGGGTGGTTTTTAACAAAAGCCATTCTGTCATGTGTTGGTGTTATTGCTATACTGTATGCTCTATTAGTGAAAGAATGAAATCTTGCTCTCTTTCTTCTTATTATTAATTTGGTCACGACTTAAAATACCACATCTGTTCCAGGACGGAGTTGGAATGAAAATGTTACAAGGAATTCTGACAGGTTTAATTCATATAGGCCACACAAGGCAGTCGTATTGGCTGTCATGGAGTGAAAAGGTTTGTTAAAAGGGATATAACAATTCAGTGGAGGGACAGCCCAGAGGCCATATACAGTAGGTGAGTTTTAAATTCCACATCAATCAAAGGAAGCTGTCGAAGATCACCATAGAACTAAAAAGAACAAAAAGTTGTCCAGTCATTTTATTAAGCTATGTGTGAGGCAAGTAAGTTACGTTAGGCATACAAAACATTGAAATTAAAATGGCCAGTGTGATATCTCTGGTTAGTATGAGACAACATTAATTGTAGGAAAGAAAAGCTTGAAAAGCCACATGAGGTTAGTGTGACAATGCTCGTATTGTAGGCTCACTTTCTGTAGGTCTTGCAGAGCTTGAAGGTTCCACACAGCAGACAGGGCCTAACAGAGCCTCACGCCAAATGCAAGTGTTTCTGCCAAATGAAACACTTGAGCTGCAGCTGTGCTTTCATTTGTGCAATAAATCAATTGTAAATACAATTTAAGCCTGTGGGTGCTTTGGAATTGTGTATATTCTGAGACATTTACCTTTCTGAATAATAAATGGGAGTTCGGGGAGGATGTAATTGTGGGGCATGGCTACCACATAGTCTTGACAAAAAATCATTCGGATTATTAAATAGATTTGCTGCTGACTCCAGTCATGGAAAGAATGACCTGAAATGTCTGGCCATCATCTTTTTATCCGTTATCCTCTTTTTCACAGTAAAGAAGTAATGAAAATGTTTTATTTGGGTGTTGAGATGCCAATGACATACTTAAGCACCTGTATAGCATTAGATAGTAATGATTTAATTGGCAGTTGAGTGCCTAGCTGAAATGTACATTGGCTGTATTTTCAGTAATTATTATTATTATATTCTATCAGGCCTCTTGGGCAACAGTAATTACTGTTTGGAACATAAATTATTAAACAGCATGATCCTTCTGAAGTGCAAAGCAGAGACATACTGTGTGCTCTTTGAACATTTTCTATAACTTAGTCACAAAAGAGCAGTAAACCTCCTTTTTGTCCTGTAAGACACATTTTGTGCAAAAAGAACAACTTCCTATGGATTTATTTTTCCATTTAAATCTGCTCCTTGAAAAAAAAAAGCATTTTTTTTTATTCTGTGGTCTTTATCTTGTCCAGTCCCATCTGTGTTTGTGTAACCATTTTATTTTCATGCGAATGGCCTACTGCTTGTTTGTGTTGGTTAAACAAATAAATTCAGGCCAAGCACTGGGTTACAAGTGTACAAAAATTGTCTTTAGGTAAAGTTCCTCAGATTTCCTTTCTGGAAAGAAAATGACCTACCTCCTTTGGTAAAAAAAAATAGTTGTTACATTTCAAGTTTTAGGATTCAGTCAAGATTTATTTGTGCATTTATTATGCAATCTTGTCATTCATTGGAAATTGCTGCACCAAAATGTAAGCTCTTGTATATTTTGGGTAGCTGTACCAGGGAAAATGGATATACAGTACAGTATAATTACTGTACTTTTATAATCTTGTCTATCAACTTCTTGAATACTCCTGAATGTGCTCTTAACTGAAATATCCCAGAACATTCTATCCTCTCTAAACAAGTGCCTCTAATTTACGGCTGTTAGTCACTCAACCCAGAACAAACCTGTATGTTTGATCACATATCTTCTAACCATAAGCAGCAGAGTTTTTTGAAGCAAATATAATTTTGTGATTTTTTTTGGTACTAAACAACTAAAATAGACACATTCACACAATTATTTTTAATTGGATGTATCTAGTATAAAAAACAGATGTCATGGTGGCACAGTGATTAGCATTGCTGCCTTGTGGTACTGGAGCCCTGGGTTCAGTTCCTGGGGTGATATCTCTGTGGAGTTTGTATGTTGATGCTGTGCTTGTGTGGGTTTCCTCCCACAGTCCAAAGATATACTGGTGGGCTAATTAGCTTCTGGGAAAAATTGTCCCTGGTGTGAATGTGTCATATTTGTGTCTGTGTGCTGGACTTAATTTGCTTTTATTCTGAAACAGAAAAATGTATGCAATTTATTAAACAATTGAACAAGCTGCCAAATAATCCATTCCTATTTTCATTGTTCTCCTTTTAGTTTTAGTAGAGCTGTTTGTTTTATTAATCTAATCCATACAGACTACTGGTTATAATTGTTTTTCTGAAAAAGAACAAAGAAACAATGTTTTCTGCTTTACCATGGAAATCCCTAGGTGATCACACAGTATAATGTAATAGTTACTGTGACTGCTGAATGAAAGGAGCATGTACTCATGCTGTGTGTTTTGCACACATCAAACAACAAAAAGAGTGCCTTTTATTTGTGTAAGTAAGATATGGGTCTAATAAGGAATAAATTGTTTCAGAACTTTACCATCCAATGTACATTACTGCTAAAACCCAATAGCTTTATTAGAGCCATGCGAGTTCTATATTAAGAAGATATTTATTCTATTAATATATTCTTAATAGAAGAATATTTTTCCAGTAGCCCTTTGGGGATTTCAATTACCTAAAAGGAATGTGACTCCACGAGTCACCTGTGGTTATTGATATTTATACTGAATTTGTATTTATTTAGAATCCTTAGGTTTAGTCTTCTTCAGAGGAATAACTTTCTCATTTTGTGTTTTAATCACTCACTATCTATTTAAAAGCTCTGTAGCTGCCTCTGTTCTGACACCTGATTATTTTGAATTCACATTTCAGGTGGAGACCTTTCAACAACTTTTCATAGAAGAGTTGGCTGGGTATTCCTCACAAAGTGCACAGATGGTGATCAAATTATTGCTGTGAAATAAGCTTGAAAAGCAACATTTTCTTTTTTGTTGTATCTCCAACATTGATCCAAGTCTTGATCTAGAGAAAACATTTTATCGATGTAGATTTTCTTTCACTTTGAAAGAAGTGATTGCACTGCTATGGGAAGAAAAACTGAGCTTGTTTTGAGAAGACCTTTGTTTTCAGACCATTCATATAAAAGTAGCTCAGGTGGGTAGCTGCGTCAGCATGGGTAGACTGCAAAGGAACAAGTTATAGGTTTATTCCATGCTGAAAAGAGAAGAAAGAAAACGCAACGTTCTTTGGGTGTGGCCCCATAGCCATAATGTTGTGTTTTCTTTCTTCTCTTTTAAGCATGAAATAAACCTTTAACTTGTTCCTTTGCATTTATATAATAAGCCTTCTAACTTTGTAAAACCACTTTAAATTTTTCCCATCGATGAATAACAAAGGTTTACAACTGAAGCCTCCTTGACAAATTTGAGCATGAATGATCACAATCTGCAATTGGAAGGTGTTTGGTCATTGTAGAATTGTAAACATGCCACACTCTCAGTCTCAAAAGTAAGTCTTCTTGGTGGAGTCTTCCAGATCAAGAGAGAGTCTTCCACATGCAGTGGACTAGCAGTTATCCTCAGTGCAACATTCTCAGGCACTCCAAAACACAAAGATTTTTTTTTTTTAGAAAAATGTATTAGGAACATTTTAAAGACCATATTACATACTAGTTCTATAAATAGCCACAGTACATTTTACTAGCGTTTATATCATACAATTTCACTGATTTCAAAACGTTAACAGAAAGAGTTAATGAGAATTTCCTGCCAAAATGAAATCATGCATTATATTCAGAGAAAGTCAATACAAATGAGACATTTGTTGATATAATTAATAATGTGCAATGCAGACACATTATCAGATGTATACCAACACTATGTTGAAAACATTTACTTTAAGATGTAATGCTTCACAGAAATTAGAACGACTTTGTTAGTTTTAACTGTGTATAAAAAGGAAGGATGGCTATTCAACATGCAACTGAATCAATGTCCCCATGCAAAGGAAACTCATGTAGGCATAGAAACATTTGCGTTCAAGTTTTCTCATGTGTATACATTTAAGATGAACACTTAATTCGATACAGAATCTTCCTCTCTGCAGTTGTCGACATCCAGATGTCGGATATCCAACATCCATTGTATTCCCTGCGGTGACTGTGGCCTGTCCTCTTATGGGGAAGGAGGAGCCTTCAAAGAATTGCAGGAACCAGCTTGACTTCCACCTGTTGGTGCTTGTCCTACCCACTGAAAACAAGAAATTGCTTTGATTACTTCAGAAGACGTTGACGCATCTAATGAAACTGCTTTGCAGAATTAAATGAAAACAGGGCCTTGAAAAACTGAACATAAATACTAAGTTCAGGAATACCAAAGTGATTTATTGGGAAGAGACACACCCTACAGAGATGAAAAGCTTTCCTAGTACAAAGAGGACAATTAATAGGTGTCTTTCTTATCCATGTCTGTTGTATGTAGTTTTCTTATGTTGAAAATGGATGATCCATAAAGCAAAGAAAAATTAAGATAATTTGAAGTTGAGAAGTGGCTATACTGAAAGCTATACTGATTTATTTATGTAGACATATAAAAGCTATTTTTAAAAGTTTTGTTCTGTTAAACTCCCAAATGCATTAAGCCACAGCTGCAACCTCAGACAATCTGATGACACTGCTTCCCTTTTTTACAGTACCTTTTCCTGCAAGTTAGAACATTTATTTTTAGACATTTTTTTCCAATGATTCTATAAAGCTAAAACTTGAAACTTGAAAATCAGTTTTCCAAACTGTTCCAGTACTGAAATAGACCCTGTCTAAGTGCAAACATTCAAATACAATTGTGATTAAAATCAAATGAAAAAATACATTCTGGATGCACGTTTTTTTCTGCTTTAATGAGTAACTTAATGTTAGCAAGTGTAGCCTTGACTAAACTGGCCAGGGATGTGGTTTTTTAAATAATAGATGAGGAGCATGATCTCTGAGGGTTGCTGTGGCTTAAACGAACATTTCAAGCTAGTGAAGCATGCTCAGCATCAGACAAATGGAATGAAATCACTGCTTCTCTCTCTTATCTGCTGAGTAGGAGTTTAAATGCTAAATTTAAAAATCCATTTTAAATAGCATTGGCTTTCTTTTTTTAATATTAGTGATTTATACTGAATTGTGCTCATGCTTAAGCAATAACATGGGATGCTATATGCTAAATTATATATAATATATGCTTATTATATTTTATAATAATATAATATTTTTTGAGTTGCAATATAATTAATGTATGATAATGGAGTAGAATGATTTATAGTTGATCTTCATAAGCAATACTAGCATATAATTTTTTACAGTTCTGTTGTAGATTGTAATCTATACTAGTTTAAACATATTTCATATTTCAGATTAAGTCTTTATAGTGATCCATAATATATTGAAGCATAAGTGAGATTATCATGGAAAATGACTTTGGTAAATTAAGTACTGTATATAATTTTCATTAGGCAGTAGTCTTTCATCAGTGATGGTACTCTGAAAAGTTTTTTAATTGTATTAATAAGGATGTGCATACTGTATGTGTAGTGGTGGTTTGAGTACAATTATAGACCAATATCTCTACGGAATTATTACAACAACATGGAACTCTTCGACTGCAATCATTTCTGAATTAGCCATGTGTTGAATACTGACAGTTTACCCAAATGTTATCTGTAATTGAGGCTGTATAATTGTTTCTAGAAAAATAATAATACATTGACTATATATAAGGGTCAACAGGGCAAAGTAGGTGAATAATGTTTTGTTTTTTTAATGGAAAACTTTTACATGAAGGAACTGGAGATCTTAACATTGTACAGTATGTCCCATATTTAGAAATGATCAAATAAATCACCATTACCCAGACTGATGGTCAGTTAGTCTGTTTAGGAGTAAAAGGTTTATTAAAATTAGAGGATATCTATCATATGTATTTTGATCTACTTTAAAGTAAAGCTGGCATTTCAATACAGTTTGTTGTGCAATGTGCGCACATGGATATAAAGTAAAAAATATACCTCGACCAGGGGGTGCCAGTGGGCTATAGGTTTTCTAGGGTATGTCAGCATTTCATTCCAATGGTCACGACCCAGGCTGTCTGCATCGTTGCCCACTCGACATATGCCGATAACCTCGTTGTGACCTACACTGTGAAAACGGGGCATAATATTTTTTTCTTGAAAAATACTGTCAATATTTACAAAAAACCTAATGACACTTCCCTTAAATGTAGAATAACTAGTGGAATAACAGTTATAATATTCAGTACCTCATGTAATTTCACACAAAAAAATCCAAACAAATGCACTTTATCTAAATGTTTGTTAAGCTTTATCTGCAACCTTTTCCTGTTTCATTTTTGTCTTGTTTAACATGATTAAATCAACAGTGCTATTTCTTCTTGTTTCAGTAATCCAATCATGACAAAAACTGCTGTCAATTTAAAATATACAGTAGCACTTAGATTGTAATATTTAGACTGTCAAGAATTTTGCTGAAGAGATGTAATGAGAGATTACTTTTGAGGGAAATACTGTACCACATTTCTAAAATGAAGGTGACCCTTGAGTCAGTCATTCACTCTTTTCTTGTTTTTTTAAAATTTTTTGTGTAGTTATTTGTAGTTTTTTTTAAGCCATGCAAAAATAAGGCATGAATCTCACCGGTCGTAGTCCATTACCGCTATCAAAAGGCTAACTTGGTCTATGTTTTCTGGAGGAACATCAAAAACTATGGCTTCATTGTAGACAGGGTTTAATGTGTTCCTTTTTGTAGATGTTTTCCTTTTCTTTAATCTCCGCCCTTCACACATGAGAGAAACCTTTACATAAGGATCTGGAAATAAACAAACAATTTTTACCCTGGAGACAACAAACAGTTGTGGTAGTACAGTCAAGAACCAGCCCTGAACACTTAACTTATTATTCATAAAAAATATATATATTGACAATATAAAAATACTTAAATTTGCAGAAAAAATGAAGTACATGACTTTTTATTTTCATTACTGATTTTTTTTAATAGTTTGTCAAGATAATGTTAAACTCTATTTTAATTATGAAATATACCAAATTAATAATCTTTCCACCAGGGACCAACAGTAATTTTTTATACTCTCAAGTAATCTCTTTTAAATATAGTACTGATATACAATATCAGTTTAGTCTGTGGAAACGTCTTTGACCCATCCAGGATATCTTCCAGAACTTAATTGTAAGGGGACATTACAAACACTAGCTGTTGCATCTTACACGCTACATGTAACACAACCACACAGGATAACTGTTTTGAGAATTTTATCGGTTGTCTGCTTTTTATTTTGCTTGCAATGTCATGTTGCCATAAGCTTCAATGTGTACTATTTTTCTATTTATGAATGAAAAAATATGCATATCCCAGCAAATCAGGATCAGAACAAATGATTCACTCAACACCAATGGTCATTGCATTATTATGTGACTATAGGAAATGAATGTGTAGCAGCTCTTCAAAAAGCCTAACAGTAGGACATCATGTCTTATATTTAATACCTATACCTCGATATTAAAGGCATCCCGTGGACTTATCTTTGTTCACTCTCTCTTATCTATATGCAGTTATAATGCCAACTATTCTAAAATCAATGAACATCCACCAAAAAGATCATGTAATCTCCTTGCTGTATCTTTGATTTGCATTTCAATTAGTTAAACTTATCTATGGTACAAAAAAATAAATGGTTCCAGAAATGATAATTAAGAATACTTTCTCACCCGATGCACCAGTAATGTCCATGGCTTTCAGATTTCTTGCTTTTATTATAGTTATAGTTAATCTTCCAGCAGTTGGAAGGTAACACAGCGAAAACATAAGATCCCCAAGGTCCACATTATCCTGTAATAGAAAGTAAGAAGCATGAGAATGAAAGGCCATTATTGGGAAGAAAAACTGTACTTCATTTTTTTTTAATTCACACTGTTAAAAAGGGAAAGGATAACTGGTAATTCTGAAACCCCTTCAAAGATGTTTTATAATGAATACATTTGAAATGTAAATCACATTCTTGGAAATCCTCTTCTTCCATCTGAAGATTCTGTGAAATCACAAGAGCCACCTTCTCTTTCACATAAACTGGCGACATCTCCAGAGGGAATCCAATTATCACCATTCTTAAAATAAAATCTCTTAGAGATGTTGCATTTTAACTATACAGCACTGTGAATATATCTGAAATAGCTTGTAACCAGCTCTCACACCATACAATACTAAGAACTATGTTTTAAGATATGCTTCTTTTCTTGTAAAAAATCTCAGATGTCTTTTAAGTGAAGTACTGAACCCATTATACTGTTTGATAATATACTCATATTACAAATGAATAATACAATGTCTGGAAAAATACAGTATACGATCTTTGCTATATCATTAAATAAGCTCTGAACTGAAGTTTGATTTATAATAATCAAATGTAACTTTACTAAAGTGGATTAGCAATTACTGTATGTTATATGCAGCCTTGTATTGATTTATAAGATGTTTCTTGCGTTTGTAATCATTAAAACACAATATATACACAGTACATGGTCACAATATTTAAGCCCAGTAAAAATTGTCTGTGACAAACAACCTAATTGTATCTCTCCTGGCGAAAGAACAGTCTGATCAAATAGCTTTTTTTTCCTATGAGCTGGCACAGACATGCCTGAGGTCTCTTATTGCCGAAAATAGAATTTTACAGATCATGAGAAAAGGTCAGACTGGTACTCCACAGGGATTTGGTTATTATGGAGCGAGGTTACATTTGACAATTTTAGACAAATAAAGTAGATGTATGAGCCTAGCATCTACTGAACACCTTTCTCATTCATTCTGTAATATTCATATAAACCCTGAAATGGTTTTCCATTAATCAGACATTTAAACCAATACATAATGCCTTAAGAACATAGGTATCACACAAGGGGACGCTATTAAGCTCATCTTGTTCATTTGCTTCATAGTTGCTTATCGATCACTGGGTCTCATCCAGCTTTTCTTGAAGGATCACAGGGGATTGACTTCAATCAATTTAAAAGCACCTTAAAATGTGTATATTTTAGCATGTTTATCATCTTTTGTTTTCATTTATGTGATAGTGGAAGCATGAATTACAAAATAAAAACAATTTGTTCATCAGAATCAGAGATTAGACACAGATACATAAGCACAGCTTCCCATTTCTCTCAGTTATTGAGTCCATCTACTGTATAATCCCGATTTATAGCACATTTACATAAGGGGATGGATATTATGGGAAAGAGATATTAAATGATTAAAATTTAGGGCATTAAATTAAGCCATACTTTCAAGTAAGGAATATTATGTTGTAAGCATTTTTAAAATCCAAAAAAATACATTAATATATTTTCAATTATTTATTAAAAGATTTCTAATCTTCCTCCTCAATTATAAACGCTTTACATTTTTGTACTATGATCAGCTGTTGAATCATAGGGAGGCCTAAACTAATTCTTAAAATTATGAACATACTTACTACAGACATTCCAGGCAATTGTTTTAGTGCTGCCAAGAAATCAGAATACAGTATCCTCTAACTTTACAAAAATAGCAGACACTCATAAAAGTTGTAAAACCATTAGGTGATCCTGCTTATGATATATTTTGAGGCTAATGCAGTATGAATGGTCAAGACTTTAATAACCAAAGAGTGTTCATTTAGACCTCTATTCAGAATGCATTTCAATTTAATCAAATAAGGAATGGATTCATGGATGAAATGAGCATCACATCAAATTTCTTCAATGAGAAAAGACAGACAGCTCCTGACATCCGAGTTCCCATTATGAGCCTATGATTCAAACATATCACATTCAAATCGTTTTGTCACATGCAGGTGAAAGTTTCTTCAGTGGATGTTTTCATGCTGTAGAAATAGTAATGAAACCAGGGCTATTCAAGTAGGAGTTACGGTAACCTGCCACTGAGCAGCACCAATGCACTTAGCTTTTCACATGTTAAATGGAGGCTGGTCTGTGAAACCAGTTCCTCTTAGGCCGATAATGAAATTACCCACATCCATTTCCCAACTATAGGATGACAGTTACCTCCATTTTCATGAGCACTTAAACCAAGTCACTGGTAACATTATGGACAAAGTAGGCCATGTGTGTTATGGTCAATCAAATTACTGTTAAGCAGTGAGATTCAATATGCCTAGGAGAAAATGGAAGCAGTCAGTTATATAACACCTTCCCTGAAAGCTAATTTACTTTGTAGAGAAACTTAAAATAGAGAAGACCCTGAGCATTGTTTTTTTGGTCAAGATGAGTAATGAAATATTTTTTGAGTGATTTCTCAACATGAATAGTCCATTAGGCATGGTACAACTTAAAAGCAATATATTGTGTGTGTGTGTGTGTATATATATGTAAAAAAAACATATACACCAGTACTGATGCAATATTTATTTCCTTTCAGAAAGTTATCTATTTTATAAATTAGTAATACTTGTGAATGTGCAAATTTAAAAACCTTGAGGATAATGACGAAGTCCTGGCAAGATGATTGATTTTCTAAATTATTTACAGAAAAAAAATTCAATGCACCCTAATTTAATTCTCTCATAAAAGAAAATAAAAATATTGATAGTACAGAAATCTCATCTTAAAAGGTCTTTTTATTGCACTTCTGTTCTATGATTCCAAATACAATACATAGAAGATTGTCAAGCCTTGCACTGTTTACATTGTTTTGTGCCATTTCTGTGGAGGTCATGGGAAAATTCACAATGTGTTTCTTAACAGAGCTTATATTTCCCAGCTCTCTTTACAATTGCCAATCAACCGTAACATAATTGCCTACAAGATTTATCAATGAGCAAAAAAGTCTCCAAAACCCACAAAAATTGGAGACTGTTCACTGTAAAAAAAACATAAATGTAGATTAATACTAACTGCTTATAATGAAATAACATTGCACATTTGCATATTACTCTAAATGGTGGATGGAATGCATTGGCTTTGGTAAAGAAAAACAACTGCTTTATATAAATTGATATAAATTATTGTCTCTCTCATCATTTTACTTTTTAAAAAAGCTACTTTTTTTGGAAATTTGAGAACATATTGTGGTTACCAATGTGTACATGCCAATTTCATTCCTACCAAACTGCTATTTTTAATAGGAGACAAAATACTTTTTATGTGAGTAATTCTGTAAAAATGGTTTTAAGGCAAAATCCTAAAATTGGATTGCACTCGAGGAGGTTATTTAAAGTCTTCACTCCCCTTCGATGTTTTTTCATTTTATTGTTTTACAATATGGAATCATAATGTATTTAATTGGGATTTTTTTTGCAATTGATTAATACAGAGCACTCTATAATGTCAAAGTGAAAACAAAAATCGACTGATCCTCCTAATTAGAAATATAAATCAGAAAATAAATGATTGCAGTTATATTCTATCTTCACAAGTCTTCCAGGCCCTGATGCAGCTAAGCATCATCATAGCACGATGGAACAAGTAATAGGTTTATTCCATGCTGAAAAGAGCATGGAATAAACCTATTACTTGTTCGTTTGTGGACTACGCATGCTAAAGCAGCTACCCACCTGAACTATCATAGCACGATGCTGACAACACCATGTTTTGCAGTAGGGATGTTGTTAAGATGGTGTGCTGTGCTTGCACCAACCGTAGCACTTATTATTAAGGCCAAAAAGTCTATTTTGGTCTCATCAGACCAGAGAATCTCTTTCACTTGATCTCAGATACCTTCTCTCGCATATCTTCTGGCAAACTGATGTGAGTTTTTTTCCAGTCTCCTATGAAACTTATACTTGTGAAGCAGTCACAGTCCTCTTGGTGGCCTTCCTGACTCGAGCCCTTCTCGTCCATATACCCAGTTTTTGAGTATACCCTGTTCTACACAGATTCATAGTTATGCCATATTTTCTCCATTTATTTATAATGGCCTTTTTACTGTGCTTTGGGGGATATTCAATGCCTTGGAAATTTTCTTATACTCTTTTTCTGGTGATTTTCAATGAATCTGTCCAGAATTTGCTTTGAAAGTTCAATTGTCTCCCTGATGTAGTTTTTGTTGGGAGCTGTATTAATCAACTGCATGACCTCCCAGAGATATAGCAGGAGTATTTAACCTGAACTCATGTGAAATACCATAATACTACATAATCAACACAAAAACCATAGTGTTTTGTGTCAATTAATGGCCGAAAAACCACTTGTAACACATTATCAAAAGTGTTACTATATGTAAGCATAGCCACTGTTTTTAAATAATCACAATCAGGTACATGTAATATATATATATAATATTTTCCTTTTATCCACTAACTGGCTATATAATAATCATAGCCTTTATTTTAAAAGGTAAATAAGTATATATATAATAGTCAATTAAATAAGTGTATTTTTGTGAGCATCAGCACACCTGTATATACAGAGAACCCTAAGTATGTAAGACACTCTGTATGGTAAAAAATCAAGGGTTCTCTGTATTCTCCTTGGATACATTTGGAGAATCAAAGGTTACATGTAAATGTTTGCACAAAATGTATGTGGTGTTGTTATACAGCATTACAATTTTTAATCTTCTGGGGATGTAAATAATACTGTAAAACAGCATAATATTAATTATTAAGCAATTTTATAGTAATAAATAAATCTTTAGCTTACTGTTCCTGCATACTGTAGTCACATTTTTGCAAAAAACAGTTTTTTTTGCCCTTTGCTAACTATTAAGTTATGATAAAAAAAAGTATGCTGTTCAAAGAATTCATAAGACAAGTTGTATTTACTTTGCATCTAATTTTTTTAGGTAATATTTATTTTTTTTACTGACTGAGGAGGAGGTGACATGGAGGTGACAGA